AGACATTAGAAATAATTTTGAAGTTCATCATCATGCAATCATTGGGTCACAACAGATGACTGACAAGTGTCTGGAGGATGAAGACGAAATTCGTCGAGAATTTGACGACAAATAGTTCGCGATAAAATCTATATATGTATATGGATTTGTTTCCTACAGCTGCTCAAAGTCCTGTTGTCTCATTAAACCAAACAATTTTTAATGCTACCACTAACCCCAAAGTATATGAGGTTGATGTACCAATTTTCAAGGGCGATTACCGAGATTGGCCGACATTCATTGACTTATATGATAGTTTAATTCATAATGACGCGAACATGCCGGCAATTCAAAACTTCGTTTTTTTGGTCAAACATTGAGAGTGTGAACCCCTCAATTTATTAAAAACTTTGGGCATGACTGAGAGCAACTACCCCGTTGCTTATTAGGCATTGCGTGATAGGTACCATAAAAAAAGGTTAATGGCAACTGAATTTTGGAATAACGTACACAACGCTCCTAAAATGTCATCAGACGACCATTTAGTTTTGCGACGTTTAGTTGACACATTTCAAGAAAACTTGGCGGCATTGAAAATTTTGAGGTTTCCCACTGTTGGCGGAGTGGAATTTTATTCTTCTCAACTTGCTTTTTCAAAAATTGATGTGCATTCGGCTAAATCTTTTGAGCTTCCGCACAGCAGTGTAGAGCATCTTTCATACGACGATTTAATCAAATTTTTAGATAAAAATTGCAATTTTTTGTCGTCCTTTGCACTTTCAAATCCAGAAGACACCATTCGAGCAAAATCAGTTAGAAACCAAAGCGAACGCAATTTTAAATCTGAATTAAATCCTAATGGTTTCTAAACGCAGGATAGCCCCAAATGTACATTAGGATGTCAGAGGAGACACTCGTTGATTAAATGTTCAGTTTTCAAATCGAAAACGCCTCGCGATCGTTACACCATTGTTAAGCAACATTGCTTGTGCACATTATGCCTCAATTTGCGGTGCAGTGCTAAAAAATGTTCCAGCCATGCAGCTTGCCAATTTTGTCAAAGTCGGACACACCATACTTTGCTCCAATGGGGAGCCGATTCTCCTTCCAAAGGCAATTCACCACAGACACCACATGACTCATCAGGCGAACTTCCTCACTCCGTTACATCTTCTGCATCCGTAGAGCTAAACTCACCTAAATCATATGCCTCTTCTAACTGAACGAATATAACCGAATGAACCTTACTCGCTACCGCACTCGTACAAGTTTATGACAGACATGGCAACCTACACACTTGCCGAGCGCTGCTGGATAGCGCTAGTCAGGCAAACTGCATCACTGAGAAGTGTTTTCGAAGACTGGGTTTGAAAAGCTACGGTGGAGGTGTTGAAATTCAAGGCATCGGCGATACGTCAGTTGCTACATCGAGAGGCTACACTACTTTCGAACTAAGCGTGCCTGGTTTGAATCAACCTTTTGTGGCAGTCTATTCAGCCATAGTACCGTCCATTTGCGTTAACATGCCTATTGTTTCAGTAGGCACAATAACTGGGATCATTTGTCTCATATTAAGTTAGCCGATCCAAGTTTCAAGACTTCTAGTGGTATCGACATTTTACTAGGTCCGTCCATGATTCCGTTACTCATGTTGGATGGCAAGATTATGCAATCTCCACATGACCCTATTGCCTTAAACACCATTTACGGCTGGATTATCATGCGAACTGTCAAATCATCTGGTAACTCTCGTTCACATCCACGCCATAGCTTCTTCATTTTATCAGATTCTCTTGAGAGAACCTTGTCCAAATTCTGGCAACTTGAAGAGGTGCCTCACACTGAACCTATATCTGAGTCTGATAAGTTATCTGAGCGATTTTTTAACACTACCCACTATCTATTGTCTGGGAGGTTTATAGTGTCTCTTCCCTTCAAAGCAGACGAGCCTGTTTTTTTGAGTTCTCGGGATATTGCTCTGAAACAGTTCAATTCTTTAGAGCGACGGCTCTTAAAAGATGTTGATCTCTATGATAAATATTCTGCTGTCATTCGTGAGTATCTAGACTATGGAAGTTGTTGCTCCTCCTGAAACTTCGACTGACACTCAAAAAATGTATTATCTACCCCACCATTCGGTTAAGAAAGTTAGTGACCAAAGCGTGCGAGTAGTATTCAATGCGTCTTGTCCTACTCCACAAGGATCACTCAATGAGTTTCTTCTGTCAGGTCCTAAACGCCAAAAACTTCAGAAAATTTGCAATAGCGTTTTCTTGTGACATCAAAGCCATGTATTGTATGATTGTACTAGACCCCAAGCTTCGGGATTATCAGAGGATAGTACGGAGATTTTCTCCTGAGCAGCCTATCCAAGATTATCGTCTTACCCGCGTTACATTTGGAATTGCATCATCTCCTTTTTTGGCACTTCGAGTCATTTCGCAACTGGCACGCGAGGGTTCAGAAACACATCCTAGCGCTTCAAGAGTTCTTCAGTCCGACAGATTTGTCGACGACATCTGCACAGGAGCTTACACACTGGAGGAAGCATTGACTCTTAAAGCAGAGCTTGTTGAGTTATTAAATTCAGCTGCGGAAGTGGTCAAGTAAAGATCTCAACTTTCTTAATACAATTCCACTAGACGCTGACACTGACTGTTTTCACAAAGTTTTTGGTCTCCAATGGGACCCAGTGAATGATATCTTTTCATATCAGGTCAATCAAACCCACGATTCTTGTACGAAAATCCCTATTCTCTAGCATTCCAGTAGAGGAGGCACTCCTGGTTATAGAAGAAAACGAAGATCTTCGGCCGTACATACTGGATCTGTCAAGACAAGTAGATGAAGCAGCAATGGGATCATCTCTCTCAACTGTGATTGCCAACCTCTTCATGATTTACTTCGAAAAGAAAGCAATAGAGAATGCAAATCTGAATCCAAAACTATGGACAAAATACGTAGATGACGTATTTGCTGTATGGCCTTTTGGCAAGGAGGAGCTTTTTAAATTCCTAGGAGATCTGAATTCCATTCATCCAAGGATTAAATTCACAATAGAACTTGAAGAGGATAACAGTCTGCCCTTTCTAGATGTGCACATCACAAGGACCGAAGATGGACACTAAAAACACTATAGAAAACCAACACACACCAACAGATATTTGAACGCTATCTCATTACCACCCATCACAGATACAGGCAGTGGCAAATACATTAATTGCTCGGTCCTTCAGACTCACAAACGAGAAGAATACAGATGGCGAACTGACGAAAATTAGTACCTGTCTTCGACAAAACGGATACCAAAGGCGCACCATCAGCAAACAACAGCAGCCCCAACAGAGAGTGTAGGACGAGACCCAACGAAGATCGATCGCTGTCCTGCCATACATCAAGGGGGTTACTGACAGAATCGGCCGAATATTGCGAAGGAATGAGATATCAACGGCATACAGGCCTGATCATACCATTGGAGCAATCCTAAGAAACCGAAAACAAAAAATTACTCTGGAAGACCAAGGAGTATACAGTGTGGCATGCGGATCGTGCAGCCTGACGTACGTGGGACAGACCAATAGAAGGATTTCAGCCAGACTCGAGGAACATCGTTTGGCAATTAGAAACAAACAAATAACATCTGCTTTGTTTCAGCACCAACACCAGACAGCCCCCAAAATTGATTTCGGTACTTGCAAACAAATAGCTAATATTTCTGATATTAGGACCAGGATTATACGAGAGGCCATCGGGATAGAAAAGTCCAGACACCTGAATACGAGAGACGACGGTCTGCATTTATCCAATACGTGGAGAACAATAATCAAACGGCAGAGCAATACGCAGCAGCCAACGGGGCTCGCAACTACGATCGGGCGAAATTAACAACGCGACAATTCGGGTGGCGGAGGCATCTTCCCTCCCGCACAAGCAGCACCGTTACCACCTCCGGCGCAGGGTATAAATACCGCACACACCGCCGATAACCTCCCAGTATTCGAAGTGTTTTCGGAGTGCGGGCATTGAAAATACCAAGTGAGATCTTGGCGAAATATATTATTTGTTTGAGTTTATAAGTAATAGGAATCATCGTTATTGAATTCTTTAATATTTTTTTTTACCAATATCTACGCCCCAGATCTAGATCATCTTCAGAGCTTGGATGTTTATTGTTGGTTGATTATTAACGATAAAATTAGTAACCTCTTTACTATTGAAAATTTTAAAACACTTAATGTGTCTGTCCGTTTTAAAAGTATTTCAAAGAGATATTTGAAAGGATCATATTTTCAATAGAACAGAAGTATAAAATTTGAACGGTTTATGTCCATGGTCTGACCTCCTGAATAGATTGGCTATAATATGTTAACATTGCTCCTTCAGTCAAAACCATACTAAGAACCAACAAGAAAGGGGGTTACCCGGTTTAATTGTTTTGTCAGTTTTTTTTTTGTTTTACTATTTTCCTATATTAATTGGTGCCTTGGGTTCTCCTCTGATTTTCCCTCGCTGTTCTCCAAACAAGTCCTCTTCTTTATTGTTTCTTTCTAAATTTTTATAGTCAATCAGTTGCTTACCATTTTTTTTCATCTAGTGAATACCATCAAAAACCAAACTTTCTTTCTATTCCAAACAAATATTTAGAATCGATATTTTTAGAGAACAATGGTCTCGCTTTATACAATAGTAATTATAAATTAGGAGATTTAACTTCATGATAAATAACTCACTATATGTTTTTAATGTAAGATGATTACTAAAATCCGTTTAATATATTTCAAAAACCTTACATGTGTAAGGAAAAGTACGCCTGAATTTTTTTCGATGTACCTAATCTATTGTCATAGTTATACGCTTCGTATTCAAGCCCTCTATGGAAAATACTTAGTGCAAACATCACATGATCAATAAAGATCGACTTGTTTTACGTTGTGACGAGTACGTGTTATCTACCGGGCGTTGGAAGTTGGCCTTAATAGAATTTTTTGCGTTGAACCAACCAGTGGTGGTGGTACAGACAAGATAATGCGATAGCATTGTCGATAACCAATCGTCAGTAGTTTGCTCCAAAATATTTAAGAGCACCTTGTGCAAGGAAGAAATAAATTTGAATCGCATATGTAGTTTTTGTTCAGCATGATGGAGTATTCGGTGGTCAGTGTCACCGCAGGTACGCAAGGTTTTTCATTTTCTAGCAACACGAATGCATTCACTAACATGACAACATTCAAGCGAGCGGTAAAATATCCGAAAACGTCCGTTTGCTACCAAACCCGCGCGGTAATATCCCGAAAATCTCCGAAGTGGCTTGGATGCATGGGACAAGAAACTCACGTGATAAAGTGAAGCTTCCCGCACGCTAGATCGGTGTGCTTTCTCAAATTTCTCAAATCTCAAACGACATAGAAGAAATTAAAAACAAATATAAACATTTTATAACATTTGATTTGCAAAACGTTAAGTGGGTATGCTTTATTTCGTGGGATTTGGTTTAAAATTTCATAGATTATTTTATATATTTTATTAAACATTAAGAACATGTTACTTTATTATTACTTTACAGTACATAGATCAAAAAATATTTAAATTCTCCCTATACCTCAACCATAGCTGAGTGTGTTTGATTTAGCTATGCTTGAACCTCGGCATCAGTCGCATGACAAAACGAGATTGCACATGACGTTACTTTATTTCTACTACAATTTCATACTACACGAACTAAGTGTATCTTGATAATCGTTCCTATACATTTATAAGAGCGTTTCGAACATTTTAATCGGATTTTTACCAGCAGAAGTCTGTTTTATTATATATTATCTGTTTTATATAACTCTAAAAAGGAAGCTGACAATGCAATGTTCTTGGGTTATGTTTTGGTCATAGAAATAGGGCAAATTTGATATAGTTTCTAAAATTGTTTGTCGACTTATTAAAATAAAATGACACTTAAATTTCTTTGAAGTAACCCTTCTTGATTTACAACATCAAATATAGTTTAAAAGCAGTAATAAATAAATAAATAAACAACTAATGTCTTTATTTAAATTAGATAAGTAAGTGGTGAGATCTTGCCTAAGCCACCTGTAAAGTGTGTTCAAGATAAGGATCTTGGTTAAATTAGAAAAAGGTTAAAAATTTTCATGACCTGCTGAGAAAGTACAACCTATATTTGGTTCCTTTTTTTATTACAAATTCAACTATGCATCGCATGCTTTTTAAAAAAAATTTCAAGAATTTTTAAGTAGGTGTTACAAACAAATGCTTTGACATAAATACCTGTCACCGAGTCTGTCGCATGTTATTTAATATTATGGTAAAATAATAATTGTGGTGTGATTATTATTGTTTATTGTAGAATAGTTAATATTATGTAATTAACGTCGAATATGCTGGGTGACAATATTACACCCATGAAGAAGAGTTTGAGATGCTAACGTGCTAGATTTTGTACCACAAAAATGCGGTGCATACAGCAACAATATATCTTAACACATATCTAAAAAGAAGGCAGCCCTTTTCATAGAGCTGTTTTAAAAAAGGAATCTTCTGAATGAACTCAAAGAACGAAAATTTTAATTTTAATTTCAAAATAATATGGTCGGACGAAATTATGGTCACTAATAATGGGATCTCCAACTATCGTAATGTGCATTACTGCGCTCAACAAAATCCGTGTGTTAAGAAAATAACACAGGGTTCTATATGTAGTGTGGAATTTATTTACCATAATTCATTCACGGCAATTTAACTTGATTTATTGCAAAATGTTTTTGAAGACTGGTTAGATGATTTACCTCTCACACAGATCAATAGCTGTTGGTTTCAACAAGATGGTGCCGCTGCGCATAATTTTTAGCAAGTTCGATATTACAACCTCTAGCGAAGTGTCTTGGAAGTTAAGCGAGAACAAAATACGACTATTTAAACAAATACAATGCTCAGCTCATAACTATTTAACGAAAACTTAACTATTTTGTTCTCTAGCTCTAATTGGACAAGTATTTACGAAGAGCGGTTTTAAACAAGTAGTTATACCGTTGCAGACTATTTAAACTGGTTTTCTAACGAATATACATTTCCTTGCAGCTAATTTCCTAGCCTTCGTGTGTTTCACGGCCCTTTCGTGGACGTCACCCGAATTACCAAAACTAGTCAATTCAACGGATAGCCCATTCTACCATGATCTGTCCAACGACGAGCAATCCTGGATCGGCGCTTTCATGCCCCTAGGTACTATCCTCGGCCCCATCACGTTTGGCTACTTGTCCGATCATTTCGGTCGCAAGACGACCCTGCTTTTGATATCGGTCCCCATGCAGGGATGCTATCTACTGCAGGCATTCGCCAAGAAGCTCTACTTGTTTTACATCTCCAGATTTGCAATGGGTGTGGCCGTGGGTGGGTTACTCACCGTCCTGCCGATGTACATCGCGGAACTGTCTCTGGACGAACACAGGGGAGTGCTCTCGGTCAGCATGGGCGTGTTCTTCTGCTTAGGAGAACTGCTCTGCTACGTGGCTGGTCCTTACATGAGTATAGTAGCGTTTAACTGCTTGTTGGCAGCGATTGCCGCCACCATCTTCGTCGTGTTCTTGATCGTCGGGTCAGAGACACCACATTACCATATCTTCAAGAACCAGCACGACCGTGCGAAAGCAGTACTGCTGAAGATACGCGCGACCGGCGAAGAAGCGATTGAGAAGGAGCTCGAGCATATCAAGCACGTGATAGAGAACGAAGAGAGCACAAGTCTTATGGACATATTCAATTCCAAAGGGCTGAGGAAGGCGGAAATCATATCTTTCTTCTTGCTCATCTTCCAGCAAATATCCGGTATATTCGCGGTGCTGTCTTACTCCCAGCAAATCTTCCAAGACGCAGGCAGCTCGTTGTCGGGCGAATACTGCGCCATAATTGTCGGCGTGGTCCAGTTGATATCTTCTCTACTGACGACTTCGATTGCGAACATTTTTGGTCGAAGGACGCTGCTCCTATTCTCCGGTTTCGGCATGGCGCTTTCCGAAGCTATCCTCGGGACCTACTCGTACCTCGACAAGAACGGTACCGACGTCACTTCGTTGTCGTTTGTGCCGATCGTGTCGCTAATAGCGTATATCGTGACGTACAATTTCGGTTTCGGGCCTATAGTGTGGACGGTGGTCAGTGAGATGTTCCCGAACAACATCAGAGCATTGGCCACAGCTTTCAATACGAGCCTGTGTTGTGTGGTCACCTTTTTCATAAGCAAATACTTCCCGACGGTGTCGGACAGTTTCGGTATAGGAGTGTGTTTCCTAGCCTTTTCAGCTACTTGTTTCGCAGGAGGATTGTTTTCGTACTTCTTCGTTCTGGAGACTAAAGGGAAGTCGCTGAAGCAGATCCAAGACGAGCTAAATGGCTAAAAGTATTTCGCGCAAATTCGGTGATTATTTATTCGCAGTAGTTTATCAATGCTACGATATTGTAATGTTGTGTAATGTTGTTTAAATGACTGTTAAGTATTTGATAAGATTGGATCTCTATTTAGTATCGGTTATTGCCAATTAATTTCTGTTAAAAAATCGCAGCTTTAATTAAGTTAAACTAGATCAAATTTATCTCCGGTTCCCTAGTTCCATTTTTCCGATAGTATCTGATTTTACACCCTTTTACTTTCCAATTATCTGACGCTCGTCAGTTTGATAATATGTTTTTATAATTATCCATATATTAACTATTGACTATTAATTTGCATATGTCGTATAGTTTTCTGATGTAAAAAATCACGTAACTTTATTATTGGGGTTTTTAAACAATTTAGGAACTTATGTTCTTAGAATAAATTTGGAATCACCCATAAAAATCGCCTTGAGCTGATAGCAGCTAAATAAAACAGTAATTGCAAAACCGACCTCTCAGGATATAATTTTTACAGGGTGTTCTTATAATGCGCAAGGGTCTTTTATGTGCGCGACTCAGGCGACTTCAAGAGCACATTTAAAAAGTTTGCTGATGACTTTAGGATATCTATGACGTGTAAGTGGAATTCATATCTGGAAGATAAATGCAACGTGGTTTTGATTGAGGTGAGCTCTCGGTTTAATGATAACTTAATCCACTAAAAACATCATTTATAAGGTAGATAAAAACATGAATTTTAATACTCATTGCTTTTCTTTGATGTCGGGGTACCGTACGTTCATGAATGATTCGACCAATGTCTGCATGGTTCAAGACATAATTCCAGGTTTACTTTCTGTAAAAAAAATTGATTATTTTAATACTGTATAATTCACATGCTTGTTTCAAAATAGATCAAATTTTTTGTTAAATAGTAATTTTCACTCAGTGAATACTAGAAGACTTCCTTATGTAGAATATATTGGTTCATATGGAATCCCAAGTGTATTAATCAATTAACCTTTTGTCGAAAGATATAAAGATGTGTGATGATTTATGTGCATTAAAAGATGAAATTTTCATTTTCATTTCATTACTTGTTTATAGATTACTGTGGTAAGTAGTATTAGACGCCATTTAATTTCATTTTTTTGACAATTTCTTGTACAAATGTTGTATTTGTAGATTTAAAAAATAAATTATTATTGCTATTATTATTATTATTATTATTAATATATTATTATGCTATTATTATTAATAAGATTAATAAGATTATGGTACTTAAATGAAGACGATTTTAAGGAAAACAGTTTCTAGCACGGTAGGTCCTCAATCGTTCAATTTTTTATTATTTTTTCTGTAAGAAATTAATCGCGAATTAAAAAATACAATTTATTAAAAAAAACAGTGGCGTACCATTTCTTACTATCTAAATAAGCACCAAATAATACTAAAAATTCTAAAGAATATAATATCAATAACAAACAAAAATAAACCCGATTACAACGATAATTAAACGTATAAAAATGTAAAAATGAAAATATAACGTGAAGTACATGGCTATATTATTTCTATATATCCACCATGATTTCCCAAACATTTTCTAATATTATCTCTCATTTTATGATGGACGCATTCAAACAAAATCTGGATGGTCTCTATCGAGCATGGATATTCCTTGTTCAATTGTTTGGCTCAAGACTCGTATATTCTGAGGTCTGTTATTGTATAAACATCAAGAGTGTTGCAATCTGGGCTATTAGCCGGCCACTGGATTGTGCCATGTCTGCCGATCCGATGATCATATCCTGTCATTTAGGTATTCAGTAACTGGATCGGTATTGTGGAAGGGTACCCTATCTTGTTGCATAACGAGGTTAATGTAATGGCGAACTGGAAGGCCTTACAAATAATTTTCAATGTTATTTCGAATTAAATCTAAAAGCGTTTGCCTGTCAGATATCCATCAAGAAATATCGGTTCTATTATTTGGATGGCCAGCATGAGTTACGTTTTTTAGATGTTTGTTTGTACGGTAATGTATCGATAAGTGATAATGAAAGCTGATATGAGGCTTTCTAAATACATAACTCATACCACACTATACAGCAACCGATCTATGACACTGTATATTTACTGATTGAATTTTATGTAGGTTTTCATTTGCGCAATAATGCCTAATTTCCGTCGTGAAGGTTGCTTCATCAGTAAAAATAATTTTTCCCAAAAAGTCGAAATCTTTTGTTATATGCCCCGACATTTCTTAACAATATTGTAATTGAATTTTATTTCCTTTAGATAAGCCTTGAATTGGACTAAATTTGTAGGGGTGATATTTTTAATAATGAATTTGAACTTTCGGGATTTTCTACAAAGTTATATGAAATTAATTTTATTTTTAATTATTATTCATAAAGAGCAAAATATTCATGTCGTCATCTTCATTCCTAACAACAGTTCTTTTTTTTCGATTGAGACTTTCGGTTTCATTAAATTGCCGGATAATGAGTGGAATAAAAAAGACGAACTACTTGAGGCTTTTCGTCCTAACTGAATGTTTCGATTTCGAGCGACGAAATTTGTTTGAGACCGGACCTGTTTATTATTAAGACTCCACACTGTAGTCTCAGTGTGACTTGAACTATAGAAGCATATATTTTTAAATGTTTATTAAAAAAATCGATAAACTGTCGAAAACATGTATTGTACCCGTTTTAAAATGATGTCTTAGTAAGGACTTATTTAAAACTTCATTTAAAATTATCATAAAATGCTTCAAATGACAATACTGTTCTATAGGAAATAACATTTGTCTAAAGGTTTTATTCAAACCATTAATTTCAAAACTAAAGATTTTTTTCTAACTACTATTGATTGAACAGTTTTGGTTAGCTGTTTAAGAGAGCCTCCCCATTGTAGAATATTCATTTTTTAAATATTCGTTTAAACTGCGGCTTAACCGAGACTATTCGGTTTCCGAATATTTCATCAGCATCTTTACGAATCTTCATTCCCGATAACGCGAGATTGTTGCTTGATTTCTTTTTTTTAGGACACGGAAAGACAGAGACGGGATACTGCAAGCAAACGGTATCTTTATTATCGACATTACTGAAAACATAACTTCGTCGTTAACCGCAAGAGCTTTCCGCGACGCACAGCGGGTTCAACAGCGTCTTGCGGACGTATCCCTTGACGCAAACGCATTGTTTCACTAAACATATTGGGGGGTTGAAGATCGTCGGCCACAGAAGCCTGTTGAGGCACGTTTTTCTGACGAGTGGAGCGCAGGTCAGTTCTTGATGCGTGCCGCACGGAGAATCTGAGAACGATTCCGCTTTAGTTACGGTATAGACTAATCTCGTCTGGGCAACACCCATCCCGTTATAAGATTTCATGTGGTCCCCGAGACATTTTGAAAAACCCAATTAAAAAAAAAGTAATCATAATCGCGGACTCAAGTTAAAGAGTAAGAGGAGTGGCGGCGAAAAGATGATGGCATCTCTATTGTTCTACACTAGACGATTTTAGATCATTCGTTCATTTTGCCTTTATAAGCAGGTGGATGAGCTGCGCTTTAGTTTAGTTCTATTTAAGTTCTATTTAAGCTTTAAGTGTAACTTCGACAAGCGATTGTGACTTTGTGTGCATCGTGAGTGCTTACTAATTAATTTTTTTTTCAAACGAGGAGTCAAGGAAAATGATGTCTGGCGGAAACAAACTAAAAGGTCGCCAGTTTCAAGAAAAATGGACTGAACAATTCATTTTTATCTTGATTATATTATGAATATTTATTTCCCTTTCAGTGATGAAAGAATTCAATATAATGAGGCATTACTCATATAAGCATCCTATGGTTCATGCACTGCCAGGACAAATAAGAAAAGACAAAATGCAAAAGCTTACCGCAAATTTAAAAAAACAGCGGCAAATATTTCATAAACAAAGAACACAACATGACAATGTTGTGATGTCTCGTTTCATTATGGCTCTTTCATGTTCTTTGAACCTAGTTGATATTTTTCGCTTTTCGCTTTTTTCGCTTTGCCGCATATGCATGGAATGCTGTAAACTTCTGGTATCTCAAACGGGATTTTGTCTTTGACAGATTGAAGATGTTCAGAGATTTTTGAACAAGTGAGAAACTTGATTTTGACGTTATATTTCTTAAAAATTTTAAAAACTTTAGATATGCGGTCAACTATGTTTTGAATATAAGGAAGGAGAACAGTGGTCAGTATGGACTCGTTGTCTTTGGAAGGTTATGGTAAAATATATTTTGTGATGGAACGCTTAATAACTCTAATGTGGAAATTATTACAGAGACGAGCAGATGTAAGGTGTTTTAATTCTGGGTTCAGTGACTCGGGTTGAGACAATTTTACTCCTCTGTAAGGAAGAGAGTTGATAGTGGATGCTGGTGTAACAATGCGTTAAGGTATCTTTTTTCTTATCAGAAATTACGCCTTAAAGTATAAGAAAATGTATTGGCTATTAGGTAGGCATTCCACCCTATCAACTTACAACAAGCTCTTGCTGTATAAACACATTCTTAAACCCATTGATATAAGAGAGAGAATAAAATATTAACGAGCATTGTGAACGCTTCTTGTTAGTTTAGCCACACTGATCACTATAAGAGCTTGGATGTGTAAACTGTCAGCCAAACCTTTAAAAAATTCCCTAAGGGTCACATACAGCTACTTCTCCATCACGTCAATGTTGAGTTTCCAGTTTCTCCAACCAAACCCTACGAGTTAGTTTAAGTGTCAGTGTAAAAGCAGAGTAAAGTGCTGTTGATGTACACATATTTTAGTCTAAGTATTATAGTCTAAGGATTGCTGTTGAGTAAGACTTTTAGTTTTAAGTTTTCCTAGTAGTAAGTTAAGTTGGAACCAAATTTCTTATTCACCAATCTTTGATCAGATCGAAAGTAATTAAAAAAAAACAATGTTAGGTCAGATTTTCCATTGTTATGAATATCTCAGAATGAGAGATTATTATTAGTTTCTAATTCAATGGTAAAACGTATCTTAGGGTATATCAGTTATCAACTCTCTTGTTTACAGAGCCGTAAAATTATCTCAACTCGAGTCACTGAACCCAGAAATATAACACCTTATATCTGCTTTTCTTTCTAATAATTTCCATATCAGAGATATTAAGCGTTCTATCACAAAATACACTACAACCTTCCAAAGACAATCAGTCCAAAATCAACCACACACTTGCGACTGTTGCCTTTCCCTGCAGTCAAAATATCACTGACCACATATCAAAAATTCTTAAGAAATGTAACGTTAAAACCAAATTTACCATTTGTCAAAAAATTTCTTAACATCTTCAATTTGTCAAAAATAAAATTCCGTGTGAGTTACCAGGAGTATACAGATTCCACGCATTTACGGCAAAGAATACATTGGAGAGATCGGTCGAAAAATATCAACTAAGCTTAAAAAAATATGAGAGCCCTAACACTACGACAAATAAACTCATCAGCAGATGACGACCACAAACACGAAAACCGAATATCAAATCTTTTTCGATAAAACTAAAATTTTAATATGTAAGTAATGCTTCTATCAAGGAAAAATCCGAGAATTTGTGGAAATCTATAAGCATCCAAACAATCTTAACTGTCTTTGCCACTCATCAATATGGCAATTCGTTATATGAGACAAATATATGAGCATTTGCAGAGATGATTGGCGAAAAGTTAGAAAATTCGACTCAACAACAACCGACGCAGGACGAATCCAGAATATTTTTTAATAGTATTGCAGTAGTCCGTGGAAGTTCCTTTGAAAAATGAAATAAAAACAACATTAACTGACAATATGGCAATTTGTCTGAAACAGCTCAATTGGCTATTTCTAGGCTACCCAGGAATTGCTTGCTTTACAGCCGCTAAAAGGAACCACTACAGAAGAGGATATTTTTGATGAAGGTCAAAAGTTTTGGCTTGGCATAGTCAAAATCATTTGGATTATGCAGGGATGGTCGGAAATTTGAAAAATATGATTTAGTAGTCCTTCATTGCATTATCCACCTACAGAACAGAAACCATTAAATCATCATTACACGGTTTTGAGGGCGTTTTTATAAGAAATATCAGCCGAATATGACGACCTAACATACCGCTGTCGGTACCATTAAATCAGTTAAGCAAAGAAAAGGTGCTGAAACGGTTTTACGAGCATAGAAAATAGATTTTATGGAAGTAAATGATAAACCAGTATCTGAATTGAGCGTCCCAAAATACATTTCTGGTCGAGCTTACAGGCTTTATCAATGAATTAAATCTGAAACTTTAAAAGCAAAGACAATTAGTAAATGATTTGAACAGATATTTGAAAATTTCAGAACAAAATCCGCTTGTTTGAGACATAGATACCGTCTGGTAACAGTTACCATTTCATCACGCTCTCAGCGTACGATAATATTGTCTATGCTCAATATGTTAGAGAACTGAAGTTAATGTCATCGGAACAATTGTCGAAGAGATTTAGCTATTTGAAAAACATGGAAAACTGATTCAACTTATTCGCTAATCAAACACTAAGTAATGTAAAAAATACTTGCAAATGGAGTTGATCGAGATTCAAGAAAACTTACTCCTTTAAATTTAAATTTGAAGACGTTTAATTCTACAAAAAATACCTCGAACAAGACCATTTTCCGCAGCTTAGAAAATTCCGGGCGAATTTTTCTTACCTTGGCAGTAAACGACCGCAACCACGACAGCTACCACGCAGAGCAACGTCAGAAGTTTCATCTTGGGAATGGTACGAGCGAGGAGGGGCGGCGGTGATATATGAACCGACCGTGAATTTTTTTTATAATGTAAACGTCTTTTCCGATAAATTTTGACTTATATATGTGCTCACAATTTCCGCAAATGACAACCGCGATAACGAAACATAGAATGCATTAGCGATTGCATTTAATTGGGCGTTGGAACAATAATCAATTTCGCCTAAGTGCAGGATCCTCAGTCATTTTTTTCGCTGCTATTGAAATGTCTTTTTTTCAAAATTTGGTCTTCTTTTCACGATAGGCGATCTCTGCTTTCTTTTTTTTAGCTTCCCATTGTCTCCAATGCACGCGAGTCTCTGCAAGCATCTGGCAAAAACATGTCAAATTGATTTTCGAGGTATCCGCAAAGGGGCAGTGGTTAGCACCTTCGCCATATTCTTTGTTTAAAATTATTTCGATTTGTGAAATAAACCTATGTCCTAAGTCAATAATTATGGAGACACAGGGTGATAAAAGTTTTTTATTACTTACGTCCACAGTTGTAAAAATATAAGCACAAAAATTCGAGTGGGGGTTTCAGAGATGGGAAATTAGATGGTGTAATCAGTTTTGCGATAATTTGTAGATGGCACCACCTCCACACACTATTTTGGAAAAATACCATTTTTTTTTGTATATTTGCAAATTCAATTTTTGGTAAGACGGGGTCATTTTCTATTTTTTTTTAAGTAAAAAATGTTCACTATCTGTGTTTTAAGTCGTTTTTTGAAGATATATACATTTTTTCCTCGCTGTGTAACCGTGTGTAGAATGAAAAGGAATGAATCGCTGACTATTAATTTATTAATAAAAATATTACTTTATGTATTATTGTTATTGCCACCAGAATATTTATTAGAGAAATAATTTAAATCCAATGCACAATACATACTTTTTAAGATTTTTATATATTTTTTGATATATTTTTATAAAATGTCTTAAGGTGATCATATTTATGGTTTAATTTTCTAATTTTAATCTTAATTTTATTCTATAATTACTCCAAGATATGAAATTTTATTAATTTTTTCTGTTCTTATTTTGCCAGTCCCGATTATTTTGCATGTGCATGTGCATTTCTTTGTAAGGACATAGCAACTGCGTCCTCTAACGGTTGGAACTTTTTGTGGCACGACAAATATATTTCGTAATATGGCCGCTCCTCCCTAGCCCTGCACAACCGTAGGAAGTATTCATAAATCCTTGCAGGCATTTGTGAACGAAAAGGACGAACTTAATAGTGGTCCTCATTTATAAGATCTTTGTTTTATTGTACTTGTTAAATCGTCACAAATTGAGGCGAACTACATCAAATATAAATTTGCTACGATAAAAACGATTTATTACCGCGACGATATATTCTAAAAATTATTTTGTAACATTACAGTACCCATCAAAGTGAATTTATTGCTTTGGTTATTTTTGCTATTATTAAAGTCACTCGACGGTAAAACAAATTAATTTATCATCGTTTACATGAGTTTTCCAAACGTTAGTAATATTACGATCTATTATGAAAGCAGTTTAAATGTGTTTTGCTGCGCCTGAAATACCTAATAGGCGTCTAATGTAACATAATTAGATTAACAAAACACCTAGTCGATCAGTGTTTTTACGCGTCAAATTCTTCATAGCAACCAATATGTTTTCGCCTGGCAAAACGAAAACAAAATCTCGTATCCGAGGGAAAAACTGCAAAAACAATTGCGGAAAAGTTTAAATATTTATTATTATAATGCAAATGTATACTAATGCGCATATTAGTGTTATCTCGACCTTATTGCTTGTTGTCTGCTTTTGCATTCTCCATATAAAAAACGTGAACAATTCCAGGTCGTGAGATACCTACGCCGTGACGATGAGTGCTTTAACGACGATTTTATTTTCGGTGATGTTCGTCTTCTCTGTGAAAGGTAAATCATACCATAACTTGGTTCAATTTATCACACCTTAACACCGATAGATTTTAAATATTACAGTAATAGATCTTTCCTACGTAGTTAACTTCGTTGTTGCAACATTAAGTTTTGGTTATACTGCATTTGGTATATCATCTATAATAATAGATACACTATGATTCTTACAATTTCATCATCCCTTGTATGACTTCATTTGGTCTTCTTAGAGGTTGTTCACCCAAATATTGTTTCTGCAACATTTAGTTTTGATTAGTTCATCATTTCTCTGGTACACCATCGATCCATAATTATTTGTTCACACAATCTTCGCCACATGTCTCTTCGTTGGAAGTTGGCAATTCGTTATTGTTAAGAAAGCAATTCGTTATTATTAAAAAACCCTCTTTCTTGTTGGGTTCGTTGTGTACTTTATTGTCCCTTATGGGATTTTTTCCAAAACACAGTTTCTGTAACATTTAGTTTTGATTGTTTATTCTCCTTGGGTACATGATCTATGATCTTTGAGCATTTAGTTTTGGTTAATTCATAATTTCTCCTATGGCTTTGGCTCACCATCCATCCATAATTGTATCTTTACAGAATCTTCACCACAATGTCATTTTTCATTTAGCAATTCGTTTTTGTTAGTTAATGCGTTTTCTACTTCATCTATAACTGGAATCGATTTATTTCAAAACAACGTTGCTGCAGCAATTAGATTTGGTAAGTTTCTCTTTCTTTTTATATTTTGGTATACTACATTTTTACCAGACAAAACTATTGAAAGCTATTTAGCACCATCTATCCATAATTGTTTTCTAACAGAATCTTCACGACAACGTCGCTTCTTAGGCATTTGGCACTTCCGTTTTGTTATATGACTTATTCCAAAACATAATTTCTGCAATATTTTGTTTTTGTTAGTTTATCTTTCATTTCATAGCCTCATACACCATCCATACATGATTGTTAATATAAGAATAATCGGCAACAATATTGCTTAGAATATCTTCTACATTAAGTTGAAACTAAAAGTACTATGAGATTTCATTGTCTTTATTTGATTTACTGAAGTATCACTATTTCTTATCCAGTTCACACTGAACGTGTGAAACGTTGTGAATTTAAGCAAAATAAAGAAAATGGAAGTTCAAAGTTCCTTTAGTTCTTCCATGGCTCTCTCTGCTGTGACATGGATTGGTTAGATTATCTTCATGTCATCCTCATGGTTTATAGTCTATTTCTAACAAAACATCATTTCCGTGGCTTGCAGTTTTTAATAATTCATCATCCTTCTTATGCCTTCATTTGTTGTTCTATCCACAATTGTCTTCTTAAAGGATCTTTTCTCTGTAAATTCTAAGCTATTAGTGAATACTGAAGAGGTGTACAATAATTCTTAATATTGTAGGCGATGACGTATGCGGACCCTACGGTCGGGTGAACACTTGCGCCAGCAGGTGCGACCCGGTACCATCGTGCAGCGTGCCCAACCCACCACCGACTCCTCCAGGAACCGTTTGTACCACTGAATGCGTAGTGCGTTGCCAGTGCAATCGCGGCGCTGTGGTCGACTCCACCGGAAAATGCATCCTTTTGTCCCAGTGTGCTTGAACGGTTTCCGTAAAAACCAATTTAAAATATTCAAAATGGCATAAATAAAGCAATTCGTTCTGCGATTTTTTGTATTTATTGAAAAAAAAAAACACTTCAACAACACTTGACACACTCATCTTAGTGGACTTCTCATTTTTAGAAACGCTCTTATATTATTTTTCGCTTTCACCACTTTTGTAAAAATAAATCGAGCCATATTACTAGATTCACAATAATATGAACACAAATTTTTATAATAAAAATATTTATTAACAATAAGAACTTCGGTCTTGGAAATTAGGTATATTAATTTTTTTTTTCGTAGATTGGAGACGAATTGGCTAAACTGGCATCACGGCAAATACGAAATAGTTTTACATTCCAGAAATATTGGTCAAACTGTCTATGAAACTCTTAAAAAAAAACTAAAAAATTAGACTTATTGCTATTGCTGGGTATTCGGTTAAAAATTTAATTTTTTGGACAATTTGTAAATGAGCTTAGCTTTATAATTCGCCAAAACCAAAAATTCCTTCAAAAGTTTCTTTCGTCTTAAACCTCCATCAACTTTACGCCACGTTGAATGTGTGATTTTTTGAATAGTCTTTTATTATTATTTTAATGTTGTATTATAAGTTGTATAAGTTATAGTGTAGTCTTTACCTCTTTCGTTTAATAATAGAGATGTTGCCCGCCGAGGTAAGATATTTTCTCATATAATCATGATCATAGTGATGACGCAGACCATATTGGTGTTGGTGAAGTCCTCATAATCTAGGCAATTTTATGGTGATTTTTACTTTTCTAACTGACTCACCAGGGATCGACGCTTAGCGGTTATAGAACGCAGTGTCTTCTTACCATGGGGCTCGAATAATCCAGCCGCCTTCCTGCTGTTTTCCATTAGAAATCCGGAACTTAGGGTTTGATTCAACCCAATCGGCTAGCTCATCACAAAATACTTCACATAGGGAATTAACAATTAACGAAATAAACAGATCTTTATCTATTAAGCTTATTATTTATTTTTATAAAAAAAACTGCACTACACAAATGTTAGGAATTTTTGCTACTTACGGTACACTACAATAAAAAATAATTATTTATTATACCGGGCGTTCTAGTAGACTATCAAACGTGCTATGAGTAAGATGAATGCGATTGAGTACCTGATAAAAAGGCAAAAAAAACTTTCTGATAAAATGCAAAACTTATAAATTAATAACTTTATCCGAACATTATGAAAACTAAACATTGATAACAATTCAACACAACAAAATTGATTGAAAGCACAAATTTAATGTCTTCATAAATATTAAAAGTGCCTCCCTTCATTTTCTATCCAGGAATTTATTCTGCGTTTAATACGGCTGTACTGATTTCAGCCATTGTGAGGTTGGCTGCAGCACTTCGGATTCGATCAACCATATTTTTAGGGGTAGTAGGGTGAGTTTGATAAAAAATATCTTTTATTCTACCCCAAACGCACAAAAAAACTCCAGGACAGTAAGGTCTGAAGATCTGGCAGGCCACAGAAATAAACTGTCCCTTCCTACCCAACGGGTATTGGTATTGGTATTTAAGGGTGGCGCCCCCCACGGGCGTCCAAGTATTTAGGCCACCAGATGGGCCCGTTATGCCCCCAGACTGCGCTAGAGGACTTCCAGAATGCCGCCCCTCCTATAGAAGGTCAGCAGCTCCTTTAGCCCAATACCGAAGACTCCAAATGTTTCCCATGTCAAAGCAGGGCACTCTCTGGCTAAGGCGTCCGCTGCCTCATTGTCTCGGATCCCGGTGTGACCTGGGACCCAGACCAACGTGACATTAGTCGCCTCTGCCACTTTCCTCATTACCCCTTTGCAAGGAGCGCGTGCGCACTGACTTTAGCGCCATAAGTGCAGCCCTACTGTCAGAGCAAAAGAATACTCTCCTGGTGCCTGAAACACGTTGCAGTACTGACCCAAGCTCGATCCCGTTGTCTCGCAGTACGCTCCAGCTCTGGCCATATCTCCCATCCTGGACCCGTCCGTTTACCAGACGAGTCCATCCCAGGAGCCAACTCTGCTCTCTCTTCACTCCTCCCTCGATGGGAAGAGAAAAGTCCATTTGTCATCTCAAAGATCAAGACGTGACTCGGCATGCCCATGACACCTCTCTCCCCGGGTCAGCCGTCTAAAATGTCGTACGGGTCCCGCTTGAAGGTACCCAGCGGCTAACCCCTGGTCTAAAAAATTTCTAACTTCGTGAGAAAAGAGTGATGGACATTCATCGTATTGTAGGCACATACCTCTTCTCGTTTGTTAAGAAACATCCTCATGCTTAACTACCATGGAATTTAGTCAATTATAGTAGTTGAACTGAGGTGGCTTTTACTTGATGAAAATCCATTTATCACAATAAATAAGAACTAAAAGTTCAGATTTTCACGAAATTATATATTATGACATGACAATTGTTTCAACAACACTGTGTCTTTATCAATCACATTTGATAAAGACAACACCGTGTCTTTATCAATCACATTTGATAAAGACACGGTGTTGTCGAAACAATTGTCATGTCATAATATATAATTTCGTGAAAATCTGAACTTTTAGTTCTTATTTATTTTGAATTGTAGTAGTCTAATCTCCTATCAAAATCAGTTTCTAATAGAGTCTGATGTACTTCAATATGATAATGGTATAGATAGTGGACTTTAAGAATTGGGTGAACCGGTACTTTAATAATATTCAAGTCCAAATTTAAATAGCGATTAATATGTACATAGGCATTTGGATTTGGATGAACTCGTCCTGTTTCGCGCAAAGATTTACTTAAATGACTGAATACCATTCTACTAAAATGTCTTCTGTTGGGATAATTTGCTCCGTATACTTGTTCAGCCACACATGCGTTTTGATGAGACTGGGAAAACACAACCATCATGTTCAGCAGTCGAATAAGACATTTTTAATGCAATAAACACGTCAGAACACTCAATGACTATTTAAAACGGCAGATAATTATTCAAATCAAATAAAGACGTGAAAGATGCATATAGCGTTTTGTCAGATCAGTATATTTTTACATTTGTGAAATTTCATAACCTACTGAAAAAGCAAACAATCTTGATCTTCACTCTAAGTATCATTTTTAAAAGAAAATTTTTCAGAAAATGGCTTTTAAAATTCAAGATTAAATTACGCGCTCTGGTGGCCATTTCGATACTAATTTCGATTCGATAATAATTTTCAGCATTTTCTTTATACTTACGAGTTACTTTTTTTTTTCCCAAATTTTTAGTGTTTCCCCAACTTTGCCCTTACTGGGACACCCGGAATAATAATAATAATAACTATGATAATAATAATGGAAATAACAATAATATATGCCGAATTACTGAAAAAGGTAAAACAAGTGGACATTAACAGAATAGGGGTAAAAATTAAGGAATCAGGAAAACTGCTAATAATCTTTACCGTTGAGGGTGGAAACGACATGGCAACTAACTTAAAAAAAGAGAAAAAATACACGACCGCGAGGTCACAACAAGGAAAAGCACTATAACGCTCTATATCAGAGGTATAGATATTGCAACATCTCAATCTGAAGTCACAGACGCAGTAAAAATCAATACAAACTCAGATGAGAGTAAAATTATAATTAAATCAATGAGACTCGTCAAATACGACCAACTCACTGCAACGGTAGAAATCCCAAGAGAGCCAGCGCTTACACTCATAAAAGCAGAAACAATAAGAATAGGCTGGATTAACTGCAGAATAAATGAAAGGGTAACGGTAATCCGCTGTTTTAACTGACTAGAACACGGCCACGTAAAACGTGACTGCAAAGCCCCAATCAAACCAGTGCATGTTTGAACTGTGGAAAGGAGGGGCCCAAAGCTAAAGAATGCAAAAATGCACCCCACTGCACGAAATGCAATATAGAAGGACACAGAGTAGATCAAATTAGATGCCCTCATTTTAGAAAAGCTGTAGAGGAGTTAAGACGAAGAAGAATGAAATCACTAAGTGACTCGAGAAAGGGAAGGACAGCAAACAAAAATGCGCCTTAAATTGCTACAGACCAACCTAGGGCGGGCGCGAGCAGCACATGACCTCGCCAACGCTACTATTAAAGAAAAGGATATATACATCATTATCGTGGGTGAACGTAATAAAATAATAAAAATAAATAATAAATAAATAATAAAATAAAATCGTTGCAGGCAGGGAGTGGATCAAGGACACCAGAATGGACGTAGCAGTGCGATTTATCAACAAAAGACAGAAGTAATAAATGTCTCGTGTAATGAAGGGTACGTGTGCTTTAAATTAAAAAACTACTGGTTCTACTGTTGCTACATCTCCACAAGCATTGAAATAGACAGGTATAAAATAGAAATGGACAAGATAATGAATAACGCTAAGCAATAAGCTGAAGAGTTTATCATCGTAGGTGACATTAACGCAAAGTCGGCTCAATGAGGATCACCCAAAACAGATGCAAGAGGAGACTACTGGCTAGAATGGCTCTCTGCGCTAAACCTCGTAGTACACAGCACTGGAGGTACACCCACAATCGTTAGGGGCCATAGATGTAACCTGTTCTACAACCAAAATAGCAAGAGATAGAGTCTACTGAACGGTATTAACAACTGAAAACCTAAGCGACCATCTATACATATACTTCGAATTACGTGGAGCAAAGGTGGCCAAAACTAGTTACGAAAAAAGAACAACACTTCAATCCGAAAATGCGTCAGACAAGGACTACAAACAGAGCTGATTAAAAGAGCCTATACTGACAGTTCTATTAAAAAGAGTAGAAACGAATCCCCACTGGTTCCATACTGGTGGAATGCTGACATTGCTTGCAAAAGAGGCGAATGTACAAATCTGCGTATAAAAATCAGCCGCACCTCGCAAAAAAAAATGGAGGAAGAAAAACAAAAATCCCGGGAAAATTATAAACAGTGCAAGAGAGAACTACGCAAAAACATAAATACTTCAAACGTCACTGCCAAGAACTGTGCAAACGTATGGGGAAATGGGTACAAAATTGTAACTAGAAGCTTGAAAACTTCCACTCCATACGA